GACAGGGCGTCGACTGCACAAACACACACACACACACACACACACACACACACACACACACACACACACACATCAGCATGTTCTTTACTGTATGTAGCCTCTAACTGTTAAGTGCCACCTGACAACCTTGCTTAGCAACTACAGCCAAACTGCCAGATACTTGTCAAAAAAACAGCAGTCAGCAGAATTAAAACCCAGCCTGAGGTCAAAGCTTAAGCTTAGAACACTTTGCTGGAATCCTGCTCATCACAGGCATTTCACATACATCCTAAAAAAAGAAATGATTAAAAAGAGGTCTAAACATTTCCATTATACACTTCAAGTACTCGGTGGCATCAACTTTCCAAAGTCTGACACTGAGACACAAATACTCTGATCTGCTAAAGGAAAACACAGATGTAATACACACTGTGTTCACTAGAGGGAGACAAAAAAAGCTGGTGAAGCATCATTAATCACTTATTCACAGCTTGTTGACAGATTTCACTCACACATATGACCATCTCATGAACTAAACAGACACTCGATTGGTCCAGACCCAAATGCGCACTTAATGTGTTTTTTGATTATGTTTTTGTCTGTCAATGGTGTCCACGAATGTGTAGGGTGTCTTGTTTGTTTTTATGTGATTCAAACGGTACTCTTAAACAGTATTCTGTCACCAAAGTGAATGCTATTTTTGACAGGGCCAGCATCATCAGGGCCACAACACAAAGCACACATTTATACCATGACACTTCCACAAAAAACTGAGGAAACAGTTGAGAAAGAGCTGAAGCTGAAGTATCTTACTATCACACACTCCACAACAAAATGTAACTTGTTATAAACTGCACAAAAGAATGACTCCATTCAGTAAACGACTTGGTCGGCTACACCGATAGCACTTTTGAGTCAAAAATTGAGATGGAAGTGTATGTATGACAATGTATGACTAAATACTAAATGGCTGACACAATGTGAGTTACTGCACCCCAAAATGAAAATTTTGTCATTAATTACTCACCCTCATGGCGCTACGGTGATGCAGAGGAGACAAATTGTTGAATAAAGTCGTTATTTTTGTTCGTAAAAAAGCTTCGTAAAATTATGGTTGAACCCCTGATGTCACATGGATTATTTTACCGATCTCCTTGCTACGTTTCTGGACGTTGATCGTGTTACTTACATTGCTGTCTATGGGAGGCTCAGAGAGCTCTCAGAATGCATCAAAACTATCTTAATTTGTGTTCGGAAGATGAACGGAGGTCTTACGGGTTTGGAACGACACGAGGGTGAGTAATTAATTACAAAATTTTCATTTTGGGGTGGAGTAACCCGTTAACTGTTGCAAAAGGAACATCCAAAATGGCTCCTGAACTTCTTAAAGAAAATAGTTATGAATTAATAGACCCTTGTAGCGTTCGTCTAATCACACTGTTGGATCTAAAACAACAAACTGTTAACTGCTACAGGACGAAAATCAAATTGGCCGAACTTAAAATTCAGCCAGTGAAGAGTTCCCGCCTCTCCTCTCACACGGCCCAATGAGCAGAGTCACTGCTGTCTGGAATGCAAAGCAGTGTCAAGCAGCCAATGAGGTGGCAACAGATGAGGATCCAGCCATGGAGGATACAGAGTGCATGATGGAAAAGAAAGCTGAGGGGAGAAGGAATGGTGTGAATCAAGGGAGAAGGGGCGGAGTCTTACTTTGGGGGTGGGGCAGGAGGCAGTGGAGAGGCGGGACTGCTGAGCGCAAGGAGACTCTGAGGGCGTGGTGCTGAGAGAGGCGGTGTCCCGCGGCAAAACCTGCACGCCTCGTGAAATGATGGACTCTGGTATCTGTAAACAGAAGACAGGGACAGTCAAATTCAGTTAAGAACTGGCAATAATCAGTATTTACACTTACAGTGCTGTGGAGTCAATAAGAGTGTTTTTTCAAAGAAATTAATACTTTTATTCAGCAAGAATATAACTTGAAGAATATAAGAATACAATTATTATATAACTGTAGAATAATAATTCTAGAATTATTATTTTAATATATAATTCTATAATATGATAACATTTCATAATGTTCAATCAGACAAACACACACACACATATATATATATACACACACACACACACACACATACTGTACATCAGAGAGCAGAGTGGTAAATAATCATGTAACACTACATTAAACCTTGACTAACATGGACTTTTGACTACTACAGAAGCAATATAGCACACACAATCTTGACAGAACGTATTAATGAATCTCCACAGACAAATATTTGAAATGACATTATCTAAACAGAGTGATATTTGTTACTGTATTCAGACTGAGACTCACTGCCTTTGATCCAGCCGGCGAGTCTTTGTGCAGTAACAAACTGCAGCTATGCTGTCTGGGAGAACTGTGCTGGGATTAAGCGGGAGTCTGATGGGCAGAAGGGCGAAGAGCGCAGGGATCTTCCATAGGAACGCTGGGGCTTAACGGAGCACTAATTAACACTGGGGATAAATCAAGGCCTCACAGGAAAGAGCAGCTCCATGAGCGCTTTAATTACCCAGCGCAGAAGCTAACCCTGCGCTAATAATAGCACTTGACTCAACCTCTGCCTTCCCATGAGACTCGAGCTACGAGCGCTCCCTGTGGAGAACACAGTAATGCCAACCTGCATGACCCCATTATAATTACTATATAAAGACAGCTAATACAGGATATATACTCAATCCTCTGTTATCAGAGAAAAAAAAAACTTTACAAGACCTGGCAAGGCTGAACAACAAGACAAATATTGCTTGCTAGAGTATAAACTGATACAACGCAATAGAAAGCTAAAGAAAGAAAGTAAGTCATGCTTGTCCATGTTGTGGGTGGTTGCCAGGGTGTTATTTATTGGCAAAGTCACAAAAGCTAGGCCTGGAGGTGCCAAGTCTATCATATTTTGGTCACTAGATATGGCTTTAATGTATACTCATTTTGTGTAACATTCAGAATAATAAAGATTCCAATTGTATTTTTCTTTAAATGAAATAAATGTGGAAATAATTTTTATGGTATAACAAAATTATATAATGTTAAATTATATGAATGTTACAGTCTGGTTTGCTGAACATTAAATTATTATTAAATAATATTATGAGAGATGGTACAGCTTTATACACATGTTGATATTAAAGAATTAACACAAAATTTAACAAATGTAAAGTAGATTAGTAGTATAAAGTCAAAAAGCTAGACCTGGAGGTGTCAGTTTTATGTTACAGTATTTGGTCTCTAAAAATTAAATGTAAGTCTAAGGGGCTGTTCACACAGAATGCATTTTTCCATTCCAATGCACTAATTTCCATTGTTTTTCTATGTAAACACACTAGACACAGTTGCACTCGCGTGTTTTGAAGTGTCTCACACATGAGCACCAAGACATTGTAAGACATTGTATCAAGTTCAAAGAATTTCAACTTTTACACGTAGTGCCACTCATCAATGTCAGTTCCAGAACTGTGGACCAATCAGAAGACTCCAGAGGCAGGGCAAGCATTGAGAGCTTTTGTTTACGGTAGCAAATTAGCATGGCAACTGTTTTATTTGATGGTAACATGGTAGAGGAGGCATTCCGCACTGAGCTTGTTTTAAAACCTGTGCGATACATCTCATGTATTTAGACGCAACAATGTGTTCTATGTGAACGGCCCCTAAGGGATTTTTTTCCTGTTTTATTGTCAAGCAATAGTAGTAGTGAGCAAATAAAACAATAATAACTTACAATGACATTTCATTTCTCTGATTGGTTTGTTTTGAAACTGGATGTTCAAAAGGGCCAATGGAATAGCAGGAGAGGTGAATGTGCATGGAAAAGTGGGTGTGGCTTACCGTATCGCTGCAGGAGCAGGTGAAATGGGACAGAATGGAGGTGGACGGGATGAAGCCACTCAAGGGCTGTCCACCTTTCGCCATGACAACAGCATGGCTGGGATGAGACTTCATGCTCTGATGATGAACATGAGATGCATAAACATGACAAGAGACTTGACACATGCACACACAAACACAAAAGATGATTCAATGGAGCATCAAGGGCAATGATAGGGAGTTGGTGAGAACTAACCAGTGCTGAAACAGGGGGTTTCATGACCCTTTAAAGGGGCAGAGTGTCATCTTTTTAATGTCAAAATACTTTCTTCTGTTCCAGTTATGTTAGGGAAACATGAAATATCATGAAATTACATAATAATAATAATAATTATTATTATTAATAGTGAAGCTCACCTTAGCAGCAATAGCAGCCGCTGTGATGTGAGAGGAGCCGCTGTCCTCTGTGGACGCCACGCCACTGTCCTTCTTCTCCTCGTCCTCTTCCTCACACTGCACACCCTTTTCTTCTGTCTGCTTGTGTGGGCTGGTGGTGGGTGGAGGGGAGAGGGGTGGTGGAGGGGACGGCAGGTCCTCTAGAGCGTCGTGTACCTCCTTCACCTTCACTATGGCATCCCGCAGCAGGTCGATGGCGTGCGGCAGAGCAGGCAGGATGAACTGGAAGCACTCCTGAGAAAAGACAGAGATGCAGATGAAAGAATGAAGCAGTGAAATTATCTTTTAGACATGCTCAAGCTCAACTCTACAGAGACAAAATCATGACAAGCTCAGAGAAAATTATGTTTATATTTATTATGAGTATCACATTGTTAGCTTAGTAACATGCTGCCTTAAATGGCAGTTACTACTAGGCAGTAGGCAGCTTTTTTATTTATGGAAAAGAGCCAGTAAAGGCCCGTTCACACCAAGAACGATAACTATAAAGATAACTACTGTATATTAGCGTCCACACCAGCGGGCGATATTGTCTGTTTATTCTAAGCGCATGTGCGTCTGCCGCTTTAAATTCTCGAGCTTGTCACAGCAGGATGGATTCTGATTGGCTGTCAATGTTTGTATCGTTCATCAGCTGGAGAAAAATCGTTCTGAAAGTGATTCCAACGATATCGTTTCTCTTTGTCTTTATCGTTATAGTTGTGGTGTGGACTCTGCTATTCTTTAATATTGAGAACGATTTTTAGAACTAAAT